TAATTGAATGTGTTCACAGAAGTGCTGAAAATGATGAGAAAAATACTGTTTGGGGAATAAGGCATGAAAGTGAAAAGTTTGCATAAAACAGAATTGTATCAGCACATTATTGTTTAAACGAAGTATATCAGGGAATGGCTAAATACAAAACAAACACAGTATTAAGCATTAAATTACAGCCTATACGCATGTCAGTGCCACATACAAATAATCAGGCAAATGATCAAACCTGAGAGAATTCCAGTTATTAACCCAATTTAAAATCATTACTGCATCCTTTCTTTCTTTTTTGATATACATGCATTTAAAAATATGTTTATATTATAGTGTTCCAGTGGACAAAATTAAATATTCTCTGCACATAAACAGGAGAGAGATACAGGGTTTGAGGCCATTGGGAAATTTCTCTAAATCAATTTTTTTACACTTGAGCTCACAATGCTTAAAGGAGGTAACAAAAAGTGTTCTTTAAAAGTATGATAGATGCATTATTTTCCCCCTGTAAGGGCCTTAATATTTTTCAGAACCCTATAATCAGAGAAGTGTCTGGCTGTATCCTGTATATCTAAATCAAGAGAAGCTTTTCCAGATGGATGAAAAGGTGCCTTAGGTGTTTATTTTGTGTTGTTTTTAAAATTACATTCAGGTGTTGTTTTTTTTGTACTGTTTAAAAATCTATTTTTAGCGTGGGTTTGTAAAACCTATCATAAAAACATATCTAAAAGGTGACTACTACTACAATTATTAATAATCATCAGCCAAATCAGGCTCACAATTTGCAGCATTTTATTTTTAAGTCCTCCTGTATCTTCACTGTTCCTAAGGCCGTTTTAGAAAAACTGATACATATTGGGCACATGGTCAAATTCTTGTGCAATTAAAATATAAGATCAGTGAAGCTCTTGAACATAGTTATTTAGTAACTTCTTCATTTGACTAAAGTATAGCCTGGATTCAGCATGAGCCACCACTGTTCTGCTCAGCGAAGAGAATAGTTTATGGGGTATAAACTATTATCAGAAAAGGTATCTGGCAAAAGTAGCAAGATTGAGAAAGGGATAAGTTAAACACTTTTAAGGCCAGCATGAGAAATTTGAACCAAAGGCAGTGCAATCTCATGGTTCTCAATTTTTTATTGTGTGTCCTGCTTTTAAAATATCCTTCCCCTGCCAACATTGAATTAGCAACTGTGGTGGCTTCTAAAAGTTGTTAGGTTTCCAAATGTTTGTTTTAAATTCTTCTTAAATGTTTTTGAAATTATTTAATTGTATTTTAGCATTTCAATGTTTGCCACTTGAGGCTTCTTTGGGAAGAAGAGCAGGGCAGAAATTTAACAAATAACAAATGTTTTGTTTTTAAGTGCTGTTGGGTTGGGTTGTTTTGCCTTATTTTTTAGCTTGCATTTGTATCGTATTTTGTACTGTGCTGATTTTATGTGAGCTGCCTTGAGTACTTTAGTACCTTTTGTGCAAAGGCAGGGTATAATTGGATAATAATAATAATAATAATAATAATAATAATAATAATAATACAGTGGTACCTAGGGTTAAGAACTTAATTCATTCTGGAGGTCCGTTCTTTGCGTGTCGAGGTCCCCAGGTCCACCCCAATAACTCACACATCACACAGAAATTTTTGTTTAAGATTTTTGGCATAATTTTGGCCACAACTTTATTAAAATACAAATTTGTGAGTGGTTGCGTAGGCATTGGTTGCGACTATCTGCCCCCACCATGGGGGACAGACTGACATTCCGCACAATGCGAAAGTCAGAATGGGGGAATACACTTGGGGGTTACGCAGAGCAGGGAACCTGCCCTCACCCCAAATGCAACCAGGAGCTCATTGCTATGGCCCGAGCCCCCTTGACAGAGTGGACAAGCAATAGTTAGCTCCCAATTCCTTTAACAGAATCCCTTGCAGCAGCAGCATTAGAGGGGCAGGCACAGCCAATCCATGCCCCTCAACCAACCAAACCATAAACCAATGCCTAACCGCGAACCTTACAAGTTGTGACGATTTGCTACGCAGTAGGCAAAAACCAAATGGCCCCAGCCAATCAGCCAGATGGACAAAATTCCTACCAGGCCCCCGCTCCAAAGCAGACGACCCCATGACAGGCATAGCAAGGTCAAAGCGAACAACCCTATTCTAGGGACGGAGGGACGGGCAATCCGATGCACGGGCGAAAAGAGGAAGCCCTAGCCTCGTGCAAGGAGTTTTAGTATTTCTGGCTGTCAACCAATAAATGACAACATTAACTTCTTCCCAACAACAAGGGAAGCCCCAATCGCATCAGTGGCCAACGATCAATTAGCCCGCCCCCCAACTTTGGAGTGTCCTGGCGGCCCCCACCGCAACACGTGCTCTCCATGAAGGAGAACACGCTTAACCTGAAACTGTTCTTTACCTGAGGTACCACTTTAGCTAATGGGGCCTCCTACTGCCGCCACACAATTTCTGTTCTCATCCTGAGGTAAAGTTCTTAACCCAAGGTATTATTTCTGGGTTAGCAGAGTCTGTAACCTGAAGCGTCTGTAATATGAGGTACCACTGTAATTCCACAGTTTCTGACCTAGGCATATTTGCACATGGCCATTTGCTATGTTGCTTGTCACATTCAATATGGAGACTTCCCCCACCCCAATACATTTAATGGACAGCATTTGCTTGCAGAACTCTTTGTGTCTGCCTTTTAAAGCCCTGGATTTAGAACCAAGGTACGTGCTTATTAATGGATCATTTCAGTTTTCTTATATAATGTAACCCAAAAAATCATTGAAGTATGCTTAGAATCTTGCACCAGTTTCATGAGCTCAAGGGGGCTTGGGTTTCTCATACAGAAGCTACCTTTGCCACAGAACAACGTACTTCGGGAACTGAGGTATTAAAGAACATTGCTTCTCCCAAAGAATCATGGGAACTGTAGTCTACCCGGTCACAGAGCTGCAATTATCAGCACACTTAGCAAACTACAATTCTGTTTATTCCTTTTGGAGGGGAGCCGTGTGCATTAAATGTGTTTTAAATGTATGGTGGGTATATAACCATGGTATTAGGTACATGTGTCTGCTATTTCAGCTAAAAAAATCATCCACTGAGCATGCCGAAGCCCTTGGGAGCATTTAAAGTAGATTTTTTTGGATGTTCCAAGCCATTTTATAGCACTTGCATCCTTTCTTATCCCATTCTCTTTTCCCTCAGGCTAACAGTAGTTTCTAGTTTATGGACTTCCTATGATAGACTGGGACGTGGGTGGTGCTGTGGGTTAAACCACAGAGCCTAGGGCTTGCTGATCAGAAGGTCGGTGGTTCGAATCCCCACAATGGGGTGAGCTCCTGTTACTCGTTCCCTGCTCCTGCCAACCTAGCACGTCAAAGTGCAAGTAGATAGATAGGTACTGCTCCTGTGGGAAGGTAAACGGCGTTTCCATGTGCTGCTCTTGTTCGCCAGAAGCAGCTTAGTCATGCTGGCCACATGACCTGAAAGCTGCACGCCGGCTCCCTCGGCCAATAAAGTGAGATGAGCTCTGCAACCCCAGAGTCGTCCACGACTGGACCTAATGGTCAGGGGTTCCTTTACCTTTACCTTTATGATACACCAAGATCCCACAGCCAAATTGTGGCATTTGGCAAACTTCATAAACAAAAGGAAAAGATAAATCTACACTTCTGGACCCAGTACAGGGTTAAATGAACCCCTTTGCTCTGGTGTTTGAATGATATTTTCTTGGAATCACAGCCACCGGCATTCAAATTTGCCAAGGATTGTTTCAAATAAAAATATTTCACTATGTGTATGTGACCCAATTCCCCATTCCATTGCTCCTGTATAAATATAAATTCCAAAGACATTTTTCTGAAGAGGCACACATTTTAATGTTTCAATGATTTTTTTTTAGCCCTGCAAGGCACTTTTCTTTTTTTTACAAGCACTGAAAATATTTGAAAGCAAAACCAGTTAAGACTGAACTGATTGGAAAGGAAAACAAAACAACTTGAGCTTCTGTCCCAAACTTTCTACTCAAATCCATTGCTGCCTTTGAAAAGTAAGATGGGTTCAGATGCTTCTGGTAGGAATTGTGGCTTCTGTATTTTGCAACTGACCAGGTAAAGCTAAATTTTCCATTGTGTGTCCACGTTAAGTGGGAAATAATAGCATTGTTCCTGTCAAATTATCATTCAGAAATATAACCTGAATGGGTCAGCTTAAAATAGCTCATCTAATTCCAAGTGTACAAAGTTGACTGAAAACATGTTTGATAATGCATAGCATGGTGTATGCATAAACATTGGCACATTTAGATAAGGGGAAAAAAGGTGTAACTCATTCTATCATCCAGGATAAAGAATGAATTTAAACTAATAAAGCAGAACAATGCAAGTAAAGTCTGGGCTGGTTTTGCCCTGCTTCTCTTTGCCCAACCTTTTTATTTCCTTTTCAGGTAACATAACATAGTATTATGAGCTGGTTAGGCAGGGTAGACTGTATGCTGAGACCCTTCTAATTTCTGGATCCAGCAAGTGTTAAAATCTAAGCAAGGATTCAAATTCTTGAAATAGCCAGGCAAGTCTCTTAGTAAGAGCCCTCTATGTATGGGCCTTAAGGAAACCAAGAGATTGGCTTAGTATCAGACAGAAAAGCGGGTAGGACAAAGACTAGACCGAGAGTTGAGTGATGTGATCAGGAAGCTAGAAGCAGCTTACTGGAAAGCCAGAGACATAGAGAGAATATTGTTTTCTGTTTGAATCGAAGGTTGCAGCTATGGGGGAAGCAAGGCCCTCTTGGGGTGTCGGTGCTGTGAAGCCCTCCATCATAGGTTCAGGTTGTATAGATGCCTAAGCAAATCATATATCACAAAGACACCACAGTCTCTGCTGTATCTCATTTTGAAGGAAACACCACCCTAGGTAAGTGCCAGGAACCCCTGGGATCTTGCCCTGCACGGAGAGTGGGTTGGTGTGCAACAATAAGAAGAGTTCTGCTGTGTCCAGCCAAAGGCCCATCCCTGATAGCTCAATTGGTAGAACATGAGACTCTTTATCTCAAGCTCGTGGGTTCAAGCCCTGTGTTGGGCAAAAGATTCCTGCATTACAGAAGGTTGGACTAGATGGCCCTTGTGTTCCCTTCCCATTCTATGATTCTGTGTCTATTATCCTGCTCTCACAATTCAGGCAACCAGATGCGAAAACTGCAAGTAGGATATGAAAACAATAGCACTCTCTTGCTTATGCCCCCCAGCAGTGGCTATTGATACTGCCTCTGATACTGGATGTAATACAGCCATGGATAGCCTCACCCTCATGAATTTGTCTAATCCTCCATTCTAGTTGGTGGCCATTACTGCATCTCTCATGGGAGCAAATTCCACATTTAACTATGTTTAACTTTGCTTTCTGTGAAGAAGTACCTGTATCCCGAATCTTCCAACGTTCAGCTTCACTGGGTGGCCTTGGCTTCTTGTATTGCAAGAGAGGGAGAAGAAACATCTCTCTCTCCACTCTCATGGCTTAGTGTTTGTCTCAGACGCTCTAATGAACCATGAAGGCTCATGGAACACAATGCAAGGGAACAAAGGGGCCATTGCAGGAACATAAGAAGCTGCTGTAGGTTAGGCCAGAATATTTGTCCTTCTAGCTCAGTAGCACCAAATCTCCACCATAGGAGCCAACTCCTAGGGGCTGAGGTACCTTCACCTCCCTCCCAATAAAATATTTGAGCAGGCTGCCTCCCCCAAGTTGATAGGTATTGCCATTCAAATGGAGTGTGTGTGTGCCATGTCTGTGACCCATTATGCAGGGTGGGGCTTACCTGGCCTCCTTCCAATATTGGCACTTCTGGTCTCCACAGTCTCAGGCTGAGATCGTTCTCTTCACTTGCTATCCGATCCTTTCCGCTGGGGATTATGCCAGAGATTGAGTCTAGTACCTTGTGAATACAAAATATGGAGTCTACAGTTGACCTGTGCTCATCTCTATGCCTAATAGCAGTGTAATGGCTCTTGGGACTATAATCAGAGACGGGCCATTGAAGAAGTGCAAAGCATTGAGTTGCTCTTCAACTCTTCAAAGGTGTATGGTGGATCCTGCAAGGAATGTGTCTCCGCACAGTGACTGGCTGGATTGAGATGTAAGATGTGAAACAAAAACCTAAGATTTGGTTACTTAGAAAATAAGGGGCTGTCCAAAAGCAATGGCATGCATATACATACAGGCCACAACCCACTTTTGCATCAACACACACCCGTGTTAACTGCTACTAATGATGAAACCAATGTCATTCCATCATGGCAGCTTTCCACCCTTAACTACTGCTTGTTTAATAGGTCTCAAACAGCCTTCCCTATTGATTGCTTGTTTACCTTTCCCCTCCCCATACTCTACATTCTCAATCTTGCCTTATTTGATCAATCAGGCATACATAAACTGTCCTGGCAGCAACCCACAAATAACCTTGATTGGCAGTAGCAAGTCATAACCCACTTTATATTCACTTCTTCTTTTTTACACCCCGATATCAATAGTGCCTTAACTGCCAGCATGTACACAAGTTCATTTGCAATTCTACTAGAGCAATTCATGCCACTGCGGTCAAGGGTATGCTGTTATTTCCATTTTAAAATCCTTTGACATAGTTCAACAGGTGCAAATTGGCTTCAGGCTCAAAGATGCCGTGAAGGGTTACAGGATGAAAACATCTTTTGGGCAGCCTTTCTGACTAATTGGATACATCTGCGTCCCAAAGGTAGGGCAGGAAATAGCACATATATTTTAATGTGATCCAATAGCTACTGTGTGAAATGATGTTATACAGCTGCTAAATGACTTGCATCTTAAACAGTTCTGCCTTAATCCACCAATATACTTAGGCACACGTAGGGTGTGATGCACGCTTACCAGACAGGAAGGCCCATTGGATTCAATGGGGCTTCCTTTTGAGTAGACTTGCATTGGTTCGTACCCTTAAGCCTGACTGAAATCCATGGCCTCAAATACACCTAACACTAGACTTATGGACATATTTGATCAAATCCACTGAGAGAGAATCATAGCTATCCCCCCTGTTGCTTCCCCCTTCACAGCACCCATACATTGGAAATAATGGGTAAAATGTAGTCCTACTGTTCCATTGATTGAACAGAGACTCTTAAAAAGAGTAGAGGGTGTTGTCTCTTATTCCCTCCCTCCCCCCACAACCTGCAGTGCCGCCACCACCTTCCACACTGTTCTGGAAGGTTCCCCAATTCTCTGGAATTTATTTTGGTGGGCTGAAGATGCTGCAGCAAGAAGGGGAAATAGGATTGTGCTGGTGATGATGATGATAAACTTAAATTAAATTTCTATACTGCCATTCCTCCGAGGATCACAGGGTGATTAACAATATAAAAATACAAACGTACATAACATAGTAACAAGCAGTAACAGTACCACCACCACCAATTTTTTAAAAAACCCATAGATGGTTTAATTCACCAAAGGCTTGGGACAAGAGGAAAGTTCTTGTGTGGTGCCCAAAGATAAGTAACAGAGGTGTCATGCGAGCTTCCCTGGGGAGAGCATTCCACAAACAGGGAGCCACCACAGAAAAGGCCCATTCTCTGTTGCCACTCTCTGGACCTCTCATGAAGGAGGCACACAAAGAAGAGCCTCAGATTATGACCATAGGGTCTAGGTTGGTTCATATGGGGAGAGACGGTCCTTGCTTCCCTCCCTTTTCCATTACTGGACACCCCCACTGGATCAAAAGCCATTCCATGAGTGGAAGAGCTGCACTGGACCCAACAACTGTCTATCTCATGGGTAGGCAAACTAAGGCCTGGGGGCTGGATCTGGCCCAATTGCCTTCTAAATCCGGCCCTCAGATGGTCTGGGAATCAGCATGTTTTTAGTAGAAATTGTCCTTTTATTTAAAATGCATCTCTGGGTTATGTGTGGGGCCTGCCTGGTGTTTTTAAATGAGTAGAATGTGTACATTTATTTAAAATGGATCTCTGGGTTGTTTGTGGGGCATAGGAATTCATTCATCCCCCCCCCCTGAAAAAAAAATATATAGTCCGGCTCCCCACAAGGTCTGAGGAACAGTGGACCGGCCCCCTTGCTGAAAAAGTTTGCTGAACCCTGGTCTATCTCAAGAGACTATATTGTCACAAATCCAACTTTCATCTAAACGTTTGTTGGGTTAGTGTTCCTGGGGATAGATTATGAGGCACACATACTTAGGACTAAAACTTGCAAACAGAATATGCATAGGTTTGGATTGCAAGATGTATGTGGGGCTTGTGTTTGTCTTCTAACAAAAAAAAAGACTGCAAGGGGTCAAGGGGTGAACTCACAGATCACTCACCCTGAGGCAGATGCACTGACAAGAATGACTCTTGAATACCAGCTAGTCACACTCAAGGCTGTTTGAAACCCAAAACTATCATACTTGATGCATGTATCTACATTAGGATCATAAACAATTTGGATCGATTTTCATAGTTAAATTCAGGCTGCAATCCTAAAAACACTTACCTAGGAGTAAGTCACATGGGATGCCATGAAGCTTACTTCTGAGTAGACATTTATAGGCTTACACTGTAAAGAAACAAAGAATAAAAAAATTGAAGGACCATAGAGAAAAGTCATATAACAAAGGCAAGTACTTACTGAAAGTTGAAAGATGAAACCAGTGAGCCATTTTACCAGCAACCTTTTTTTATGATTTTGCACCTGTCTTTAATTTTAATAGCAAGAAAAATAATACAAGTAGTTGCCTCATATTAACTGCTGAAAGTTAAGGGTGAAAACTAATATTTGTATTTCCAAATTTAATCTTGTGTAAAATGTATTGGCAAGCACTCTCTCTTTTCCCCTCATCTCCCCCTTCCAAACAGAGATCAATAATGAGCACATAAGCTGATTTAAACAAGCTGGTAGGAATGACAACATTTCCTTTCCATTTTTATGCATCCTACGGGGCAGGATTTTAAAAAAGGAAACTGGCAGATCTTTCTTCTGTGTGACTCTCTAGCAATTGTTCCATAGTTAAAGCTAGTGAGAAAGTTTCCACTGTAAAATTGTATAACTTTCTTAAAAGAAGTGGGGTGTGTGTGTGAGGGGGGACTTTTTGGCAGAAAAGGGAATGCCTGAAGTTGATAAAAGGAAATAATATGCACTGTACTCAAAGTACCAGTTCTGGAAATTCATTGTCTGCATTTCAAGCTTACTGATGGATGTTATACCTCATCAGTGAGGTAAAACAAGTAGGCTGCATTCTGGAATGAAGTTGAAATGGAAGCAAAACCTGAATTTTACTGCAGATGCTGGTGTCACCAAAAGCAAGTGGCAAGTCTGACCCTCAACATGTGCTTAAGTGTACCTCTCTGCTCTGTAAAGTGCTCCACAGTATTTTAATTGAGTAAAATGCACCCACTCCTCTAAGCAGTGGCTGTTCTTTCCTCCCACAGACAGAGACCCCATGAGGAATGCAGTTGCCTCTACATTGCAATATACAGCCCTGGCCTCTGGCAACACATACACTCAAAATGACACACAGTTCACTGGGAGGTTTTAGAAACTGGGAAAAGCAGGGGGCAGAAAATGTATATGAGCCCAAACCAGTGTGAACTAATGGCTTCCCCAAAATTTGACGTATTACCAAAGTCTATCTGTACTTAACCCATGAAGCACATTCATATTTTCCAGCTGATCAAAGAGTTGATACGATGCTTAATGTTGTTGCCGTGTGACTTCCATATCTCTGTCCTTCTTATGGAAACCATATTTATCCTCTACAAGGATGCAAAGGGGTCAGTGCTAAGCTCAGTTGGTTTTTATTTTCCCAGCACAAGGGATTGTGTGTGTGTGTGTGTGTGTGTGTGTGTGTGTGCCACTTGACAACCCACCATTTTCAGTGACAGATTCAGCTCCTATGTTCTTGCAACAGACTATTTTCTTGAAAAACAGGGGTTCAAATATTTTGACCAAAAAGCAAGTAATTGGCTACGTGAACTTTTCTGCTGCAAGTGGGAAACACGTTCTTCCTCACCTAACTGGTTCCACCTAAAGCGGATTACTTCAGTATTGTAACGTTGATC